AAGGTTTCCTTCATTCTGCCCAACAAATCACTAGGTTGGAGCATGTATTATAAGGAGACATCAGTTTGAGGGCAGACTTGAAGTACTTTTCATTGTACCTCATTTTAAGTAGTTCCTGTTTCTGCCACTTCTTCCAAATGTCAAGGTATTCCTGCATTTCTGAATATGGCACTCTTCAGTGGCATACATAATCAAAAACTATGGGGAACTGATGTGGATTTTTTCTTTTTCTGTGTTATTTTAAATTTGAGTTCAGGAGACAGTTCATTCAGCTATGCAAAGAGCTGCATGGCAGAAGTGAGAGAACAGCATGGGAGTAGGTGTAAGTAGTAGAGGATGAGCGAGGAAAGGGCTTCACACAGCAGCTCTGCTGTCTGTAGTTGCTCTTCTGCCCATTTTTCTCCTCTGTGCCATAGCTGGCAGAAGGCAGGGCAGAGCTGTGCCTCACTAGCTGAGGTTCACAGTCTAGCATTTTAGCAGGAACTGACTTCTCAGGCAATTAAAGCAAATGTGCTCGACTGTGAACTGAAAGAGTTCTGTTGTGGCAATGTCCTCGGGCAGAGGGGATGGCAGGACAAATGGGGGTAACAATGCATTAAACCATTGCAGCTGTTTTCTGCTTTGTGCTTAGGTCAGGGCTCTCCTAAGTGCACCACGTGCTGAAAAATGTACCACCCTGCACGGTGACTGTTCCAATCCTATACTTCCTTAGGAGTTAAAGATTAGCATCTTCTTTCTGAACTGAATTGTGCTCATCTCCTCATCTTGACCTTCTCTTATCAGTATGCACCAGCTTCAGTACTGGAATCGACTATTTAGAACCTAAGAGGATTTTTTAAAGAGTGTGGGCTAGGACTTGGATATGTCCTAGCTCTATCTTTTACCTTATAAAGTAAGCAGGAAGGTGAAAGTGTTAATTCAGGGGAAGAAATTTTGGGAAATGGGAGTAGGGCATGAGGAAAATGCCAGCTAGGCTGTTTATTGGAAAGCCCATAAATAGGAATTAAGACTAACATTTCTGTTGTAAAAGGTTTGTGGTTTTTAACAGATGACTACCACAAGCATAAAATAACAGAACAAAGAAGTCTTTTACTTCAAGTAAAAGAAGTTCAGAGTGGATTATAACTTTATTTTGCCTCTAACTCAAAGAAGGAAATATCCGGGATAATTTAGTAAAATAACCATGTTGAAAATAAGTTATCTGAAAATTATAAAAGGCTTTCCAAACCAGAAATAAATTAATGCTAGCAAGTGTACTCTGACCATGCATTTTAACATATAACCTCAATTAATCTTGGGTAAAATTCTTTAACCTCACAACTCCAGCAATTAATAGAGGAGGTAGATTTGAAAGCACAAATTGATACAAAGGAAACCTAATTTTATTGGTTGATTGAATCTGAACTGTGTTGTCTTGGTAGACTTTGAAATACAGACATGCAAACATAAATGCAAACTGTTGTTTTGCATTTGCTTGCCATTGACTACGTTAAAAACTTTTCTTCTGAGTACAATATTTAAGGAGTTTTCTTAGTCCTTTAATGCATACAGGATTGTAATCTTTATATTTTATATATAATCTTTATACATATACTTATTATTTATATATAATCTTTATATTATATAATCTTTATACAACAACAGAAATGTTTGTGCCGGCCCAAGGGAGAAGGTAGGAACCAACAGCAAGAGAAGGTGACACCATCTGCCTCAGCAGCAGGGTGGATTTATGTGAGATTAAAGTGACCATGTAAATAGAGCCTTAGAAATGAAACCTGTTGGCTGGAAGAGTCCTTTTCCTCAAATAGATTCATGATTTGTTTATACCGAGGTAAGGGAATCCTTGACAGGCTGTGTCTGCTTTTTGGGTGAGAGGTGGCTCCACCTCCTTGTGCAGTAGAAACATTGGCATTTATAAGAATCTGAATATGAAATAATAGGAAATAATCTATTAGGATAAAATTAAAGCTAATACACTGATTAAGTCAGAGTTCACAGAAGCTTGCAAAGGGGAAGGAAACAGTGTCTCTCTCTGAAGGGAACATGAGGCAAAGTTCAGATAGAAAGGTTGGATGAGTCCCCAGATCTTTGCTCTCATCCACAAAGACAGGCCTAAGAAAGTCAAGCCTGTATAAAAACAGACTCCTAGACAGATATGTGAGCAATAGATAGCTGAGTAGCACAAAAAGAGAGAAACCTCTACATTTTTCTAGCCCTTAGTTTAGGAAATGTGGGTAATTTTATTTTAAATCATTACCATATTATATATTGTGTAAATACACTTATTAAATGGAGCTACAAAGCTGGGCAATGGGAAATGCTAGAGCATTACATTCTAGTGGTGCTGTAATACTTTAAGACTGCAGTAGCTGCTCAGGATCATAGAATATTTCTTAGGCAAAAGAGCAAAAGAGCATTAATCTAGGGAGCCAGGTCAGGCAGATTGGAAGTTAGTAGAGCTGCTGTGAGAAAGAGAAGTCTTGTGATTATTAACATTAGCCAGAGGCTCCCTGCATATAATATGATGGTGGGGAGAATGGGTGAACCCTGAGGATTTCCCATGGAGTCTCTTATGACAGCATTTGAGTTAAATCAGTATGTGAGTGCAGCTGCTTCAAATAACTGAGAGAAGCAAGTCCAGCACCACTGCAATAAGTTAATGTTTAGCTTTCATGTGATGTTAAAACCTGTATTACTTGTTCAACTTACAGAGACTTGCCTTCAAAAGAAATTGGATAAAATTATTGTATTTTCAAGGTGCATATTACACTGACTATATTGAAGAATTCACAGATTCTTCTCTGTAGCTTTTCAGTATTTTCATTTGTCTCATATAGTCATTCCTTATATGTCTAGAATTCCTGGATGTCTCAATCTTTGCAACAATTTTTTGGTTTTTCTGAGTTATGCTTAATATGTAATATGCTCCAAATTGTCATGGAACTGCAGGTGAATGTAAGAAGGTACTATAAAAGCACATTTACCTTTTGACATTGTAACAAACACTGCATTGTACAACCAGCAGTCGATTTCCATCTTATACAAAAACCCTGCATCATTAGAATAACATTCAGTGTTGTTGTAGCTGGATAGGAAACTTAAGAATTAATAGGTAGCAATAAATCAGCATAATTTCTGCTGCTTGGACATTAAGATATACCAAAGCTTTGGTGTGGGCCTACAAAAATGGATGATGTGTGAACTGCAGAATGGAAACATGTGAATGGAGAGGCTATATAGTGGATAATATGTCCATGTGACTTATGCTCTACCTGTGTGGTTTTTCTGCATCTGCTCCCCCTGTCTTTAGAATTTTCCTTTGGGTTTCCACATCCTGTGAACACCAAGTCAGTGCATGTTACATGGTTCCTGTTACTGTCATGGCTTTTGTGGCCTAGCTTTTCCTGAGAGTTGCCTCTACCGAAGCTTAATCAGGAATGTAACAGGTAACTGCAAAAGGCTGAAACAGCCTTATTTTTTAGCATTTAGCAAAGCCTGGGCACAAAGAGTACTTGAAGAAGAACTAAACATTTCAGTGCTGGAATAAAGCACCTGCTCTCACAGATGATGAAGATGTCATGTACTAAGTGAAAAATATATCCCCTAATGAACATATGCCAGGAGCTGTTTGGATCTAGATGGAACAGGAATGAAACATTTAGATTCTTGCCAGCCATATGGGACACTGACATTGCACAATTACTCCCAGCCTGTCATTCCAAGGCTTGGCATAGAGCACTGGATGAAGTATGGGCTTGAGATTATTCAGCAAAATGTTAAAATGCTTTGCTCTGTGGCCTCCTCTTGTGTTCTGTTGCATGTCCATAACCCAGCTAAACTTGTGCAAACCCCTGAACTGCAGAGGGAGGGGATGCACAAAGCGCAGCCATCTGGGCCTGCTGAATAGGGAGAGAAGAAAACCCTGCGAGAGTCACTGGCTGTTACTAAAGCCAGGATTGCTTTTACAGGAGTGCCAAATCTTACTAATTAATTTTCAGATTTATACTTCAGGGTGACTCTGGCAGTGATTATATTATTCAAAAAACAGTCACAGACTGTTCTTGAATCTTCAAGCACAAATCTCTCAATACTTTGTGAGCTCCTAACATTTGGTTTCCACATACACATTTTTCTTAAAGAGTAAGACATGCCAAAAAGACTTAGCTTATCCTTACAGTAGTATTTTGTAACTGATCTTTTCATCAAAGCAGATGAAAAAGTGCATTTTGATAAGTGCACTGAACACCCAAAGCCATAACATGTTATGTTTTTCTCATTTTTATCCCAACACCTTGGCATAATCTTTGTGCCTGAAGTCTCATAGACTAAAAGCATCAGGACTGGAGACTCCCAGCTTCTGGCTTTGACTCTGCTAACACACTGCATTAAAAGAAGTCACAATCAATTCATAAAGACAAGAAGGCTGGGCAGAAACCAAACCTTGTGTAAGAAAGGATGATTTTACTTGAACTTAATAGTGTTCCCACAAATTTCAATTGGACGGAGGCTTCCCACAACATATGAAGGCTTCCCACAACGTATGAGAGATCCCCTGGTAAAGAAGAAATAGGTAACATTTCTCCACTTTATGGCACTAATGTAGAATTACAGAATGTCTGGGGTTAGAAGGAACTTTAGAGATTACCTTTTTCCAACCCTCCTGCCATGGGCAGGGACAACTCCCAATAGACCAGTTTGCTCAAAGCTATGTCCAACCTGGCCTTCAACTGGGACAGCTTCTCTGGGCAACTTATTCAGGCTGTTCTTACCAACCTCACAGTGAAAGACTTGCTCATCTGTGTTAATATGTGTCCAGCTAAATGCTCCTTCCTTATTTTGGAGGAATATTCCTTTTTGGGGTTTTGCGGGGGGGGGGGGGGGGGGGGGTGGGGGGTGGGGGGTTTTTTTAAGGACTGTAAGGAGCCTGCAGCTGGTTTTAATACCCTGCCCAGTAAATGACGGGAGCCTGTTCACAATCAATGACACGCGTTATTTATTAACAGACTTTTCCATAATTGTCCCCAGACAGCGCCCCGAGCACTTTCTGGCAGACACGAGGGGAACTCGGGGGTGGCTGTCAGCTCCACGGACTCCGGGCTGTCCCGGAGGGGGAAGAGGGACTGGGACAGCCCCAGGGGCTCGGGGCGGGCGGGGCTCGCCTCGCCGCCTCAGCCCCGCCTCGCTCCCTCGCGGCTGCCGCGTTCGCACCTTCAGGCAGCGGCGTGAGCCGTGGCTGAGGCGGCAGCCGCCCGCCCTGCCCGCTGACAGCGGCCGTCGGCCGCCGGTGCCCGAAGCAGCTCTTCCCCGCTGAGCCGAGCGGAGCCGGCGGCGCGGCTGCGGCGGCAGGCGGGGGAGCGCTCCTCACCGCTCCGCCTCCGACCGCCGCCCGCTGCGGGGATGTGTGATTGCCATGGCGAGGCGGCTCTTCCCGGGGGCCTGGCTGAGGAAGCCGCACTCCGCGCAGGTAGGCCGGCGAGGGGCCGGTGCCGGCGCCCGTCCCTCCCCGCAAAGTTCCCTCCGGAGCGGGCGCCCCCCGCAGGGCTCTCGCCGCTTCCCCCGGC